CTGAGATATAAGTGAGAGGATTATTCTAGAAGGGGGCGGATGAGATTCTGTGGCTTGCATTGTGCGGGGGGTAAGATTAGAGGATCATAATGGTCCTTCTTACCTTAAAGTCTATGAGTCTATGAGTATGTAGGTGCCTGATTTCCATGGGAAGTTGTGATTCAGAATCTTCAGGAACCTAGGGCAGTGGTCCCCAACGTGGTGCCTGCGGGCACCAGGGCACCCGCCAGGGCATTTATGTGTGCCCGCCGAGTGACCAGGCCCGGCCCAACCCATTCTTGCACACCAGGCCCTCAGCACGTGGGCACGCAGTGCACACCTGGAAGCCCCAAAAGGTTGGGGACTACTGACCTAGGGTAATCTCATGCACACAGCTGGGCTGAAATGGAATCTAATCCTCATGATGCCCCTCATGTATGGGGCAGGATTTTCAGCTCACTGCCTAAGGGTTTGTCTACACTACCCTCCTAGTTCGAACTACCTAGTTCGTGCCCCGTGTAGCCGCGCTGCACGGGGTTCGAACCAGCGGGGTTTTAAAAATGGCGGCTCCCCGCTTATGCAAATGAAGCCCGGGAAATTCAAATCCTGGGCTTCATTTGCAAGTGCGGTATGCCTACATTACCCCGCTAGTTTGAACTAGCGGGCTAGTGTAGACATACCCTTATTTACCTTGCAGAGAGTGCCACGCCAGGTTCACCTCCTGGCCCCCGTCTGTGAAGACGACTCCCAGGAAAGCCAGCTGGAGTTGGTTTGCCTTCTCCTGAGCTTCTAACCCGGCAATGCCAAGGTGAAATGACTGGTAAATGGAAAGCTCTCCGTGCAAAGGACCAGCAAATACTTGGGTGAGGGGCTACAGAAGTGCAGGGTGGGGAGCGGGTGGGCAGTGTTCTTGAGAATCTAGCCCTGCATAAGCTTTGGTTGGGTTTCACCTAGTCCCTAGGGCAGGGGTGTCCAAACTTTTTTCAAAGAGGGCCAGATTTGAAGAAGTGAACATGCGTGAGGGCCGTCCCCGCACTCTCAGCCCCAAGGCGGAGGGCCCTCAGGGTCGGAGGCGGGCGGAGAGCGCAGGGCACGCCGGCCTCACGGCGGCCCGGGGGCAGGGTGAACCCGCACAGGCTCTAGGACAGCGGAGGCCATGGGCGGCGGCGGTGCGGCCGGAAGTGGCGCGCTGGGCGCGCCAGTTCAAAAGAGCGCCGGGGAGTCAGGAGAGGGGGAGGAAGCGGGGGCCGTATTAAATTGGAACACGGGCCACAATTGGCCCGCGGGCCGGACTTTGGACATGCCTGCCCTAGGGTGATGGGAGACGTGGAAATATGGAAGGAAGATGGATACTGTAGACGGCTGGAAACGGAAAGGGATGAGAGGAATGGATGCTGTAGATGTGGTAGAAGGGGTCTAAAGATGGATAGATAATGAGACGGCTCTGGACGAAGCTTGTTGATCCAACTTTGAACCAGAGGTTGGACTAGACCCACTGAGATCTCTCCTGAACCTCATTTCTGAGCTGCACTAGCTATTTCTTTTCATTACCTCACGGAGGTCAATTGAATAACCTCTTACGGTATCTTAGCCTCAGTATTTTAGGGGATGGGCACCTGATAGAACAAACCCAGAAGCCTCTTCTCCTGGGCTTTCCATGCATTTAAGGTTGTGGCAGGATGGGATCAGCATTGGCGCATCCTTAAATGTTTGGAAAAAAAAGAATTGTTTGTGCTAAATTGCTCATTTTTTATGGAGCATTGATGTTGCTCAATGGGCTGTTCTACAAGGCTGGAGAGGGGTTCAGGGTCAAAATCTGCCTTCTCACATTATTGATACTGGTCTCTTTGCATTTCTCAGCTTGCCCCCAAAAGCTCACTTGAGCCAGCCATCTACTTGGCCAAACCCTCCTACGAAGACGTTATTAAGAATTCTGGTCACATGACTTGTCTAGTTTTGGGTTACAACTTAGCCACCACCACAATCACTTGGGAGGTGGACGGATAGGTCAGCTCTGCAGGGAGGATAGACCCCCCACAAGATGAATATCAACGGGACCACCAGCCTGGTCAGTTCCCTCCCAGTATCGCGGGCACAGTGGGGACAAGGCAACAGATTTACCAGCAAAGTGAGCACGCTCTGTTCTGGAGAACTTACCCAGGAGATAACCATGGTCAGTAAAGGTGAGGAGCCTCAGCATCTCAAAGGGAAAGACAAACTCTAGTCATTGTCAATTGGTGGCCATTTGTGTAATGGTAAAACACATGTGAGGGTGAGGAGCCTACTGATGCTCCGGAAGGAGATTGAGAGGGTGTCTATGCTTTGGGAAGTGGCCTGGACACGATGCCCGCCTAAGGTCTCTTCCATCTCTATGATTCTATGATTCTTAACTTGGATGTGCACCCAAGCCTTATTCTTGCCTTTCCCCTCCTCCTTTCCATGTAGACATGGCTAAGAAGGAGCCTTCCATCACCATCTCAAAAGCCTTCCACAAAAACCTCTCAGGGACCAACGAGTCCTTGACTCTCATCTGCGAAGCTAGCGGCTTTTATCCCAAAGACATCAGCATCTCCTGGTTGAAGGACAATTCCCCGGAACTCGCGACACTTGTGGCACTTCCCTTACAGCAAGCAGCAGTGGAGACAGACGCAAGTCCCACTGTTGCAGCTCTACTGGGAGAAAGCGCCTTAGCATCCCCTTTGGAGTCCGGTTAATCCACTCCATTAGCCCATCGGTTGAGGATGGTATACTGAGGTTTGTAACTTACATATCCCCAGTATTGCACACACCTGTCAGAGTAATTGGGACATATAATTGGTCCCTTGGTCTGTGAGGAGCTCTCGGGGAAGCCCTACCCGAGAAAAGATTTTTACAAGCTCCGATGCAATGTTTCGGGCGTAGGTGTTTCTCAGGGTTTTGGCTTCGGGGAATCGGGTGGCATAGTCCATTAAAACCAGAATGTAGTGGAACCCAGCTTCACTTTTCGGCAGTGGGCCCATCAGGTCAATTGCCACCTTTTCGAAGGGGGACTAACGAGGCCTTTGGCACTCCCGGTTTGGAGGCTAGCTGGCAGTTTGGGCATGACTGGCAGTAGTCCAGTACTTCATGGTGCACCCTGGACCAAAAGAACCGGGACAGTACTCTCGCCAGAGTTTTTTCTGTCCCCATGTGGCCAGCGGTGGGAATATCATGGGCAAGTTGCAGTACTGCCCGGCAATGACACCAGGGAACGAGGATCTGGGTCTTGACCTCTTGGGTCCGGGGGTCTTGCATTACCCGATAGAGGCGGTCAACTTTCAATTCCAAGTGGGGCCAATGGGATGCCCTCTGGGGGTCTACCACGGTGCCATCAATTGTGGCTACCTGCTCATATGCTGCCCTCAGTGTGGGATGCTCCCTCTGGTCCCGGGGAAAGTCTGTCAGAGCAAGGGCCTGGGCATTGGCCTCTGCCGATGCCTGGGGATTATCGGGCAATTCACCTGCCTTCTCGCCACGGTGCTCCTGATCCTCAACCGACTCCTCGGGCTGGTCTTCTGGCAGCATTTCCCCCAGAAGGTCGCCCTCCACTTTCCCCCGGTCGGCCGAACCCCTGAGGGTGACCTCGAGCATGAGATCTTCACCCCCCAGCCAGGAGCTCTGGACAGGCCTCTGTCTCCCTCAGAGACTGGGCCCAGACTGAGCTCCCTGGCAAAGTTCTTATAGTCTTAGCCACGCCCCTGGGCTTCCGGTCAGGTGAGGGGGCGGGGCTAGCCTGTGCCCAAAATGGCTCCCAGAAGGGTTCCTCCACCTCTGGCTCAGTGGGTACCCACTCCGTCCCACTACAGTGGAATAATGGCCATCTCTGGGGCTGTTACCAGAGGGGGTGACGACTGGGGCAGGTGGACCTTGGCCCACCTGACTCCCCGGGTTATGACCCACAATGCTTGAGGGGCAGAGTAGTCTGGCATAGGTCAGCAAGGAATCCAACCATAACACACTCACTTCACGAGGATACGCAAAAGGGATTTTTGCCCGAACAGGAGCAGCATAGTATTTCCGCAAGAAGCACTGATTTCTTGCAGTAGGAAGTCAGTGCTTTTGCGGAAATTCAAGCGGGAAATTCAAGCGGCCGGCAAGTTTTTCCGCAAAATCAGATTATTTTGCGGAAAAACTTGCCAGTCTAGACACAGCCCATGAGTCCGTGACAAACAAGAACATTTATTTAGACTATTATGATTATAGACGCCTAACTTTAGGCACCATCTATGAGAATCCATAGATCCGGAACCTGGTCCCTATGCTTTTGGAACCTGACCTGACCGCTGTGCTATTGGTGGGAGAATTGGGAGGTCTAAGATCTTACTCTCCCTTAAAGGTATCGCCCACATGGACCTGATTGGAGGAGCTGTAAGGTCTCTGATTGGGCCGGGTACATAATTTAAAGTCAGAAAGACACAGGAAGTTGTCTGTGCAGCAAGATGGATCCTGCCATAGTGCTGCTACACGCCTTGGCAACCCCTGCTGCGGCCCCGCTCCAGCATGGGGGATTGGCTGCCACTGGGTGGGGGTGGAAAAATGGGGCAAGGAGAATTTCTTCTCTAGCGGGCACTGGCTCTGAGCCAGGGAGACTTTGAGGGGCTCGCTGGGTTGGGCAGGCAAGGACTGGGACATGGGTGTTTTCTCCTCTAGGGGGCGCTGTGTATGTCCAAGGCAGAATTCGAGGGGCTGGATGGGTTGGGCAGGCTGGGACCAGGACATGGGCAGCTTCTCCTCTAGGGGGCTCTGTCTCTGACCCACTCCTACAGCAGGGAACTGCTAGGTGCAAGAGGGACATGGGACGCAGGTTGGTTCCTTGCTCGAGGCGCTGGCTCCCTGCGTGACACAAGGTGCCTGGTCACAGCCCAGTTCACAGCAAGGCAGTGCGGCTGAGGGCTCAGGAGGTCACAGGAGGTCACAGGAGGTGAATCACTCTTGCCCCACACCGCTGCAGGGCGGCACTGTGGGAGGCAGGATGGCGATGGCAAAGAAAGGGGGCTGCACCCCTACACCACGCGCTGGATCACGTTCTTGTACTCGGGGCCACTCACACGCTTCAGCTGCACCACGGTGGCAAAAAGCCACTTCACCTGCAAAGGGAAAGGACAGAGAGGGCAGGCGTGAGAGGGAGGTCAGAGCTGGGGGTGGGAAACTGCTCTGTCTGTCTGTCAGTGTCATTCTGTCTGGTTTCTATATCTGTGTCTCATTCATTCAGCCTGTGTCCCCCACAGCTTTTCATCTTTCTCCTTCCTGGCTCCTTTTTTCCTTCCCTCCAGTGATGCACTCAACAGTGCTAACCTGGCTCTTCCCGTCGCTCCTACGTTCTCTCTCTCTCACCTTGAACAGGGTCACCGTGGCGCTGTAGCACACGCTCAAGAGGAAGAGGGTGATGAAGACCGAGATGGTGCTCCAGAGGCTGTTGAGCTCCTCGTTGTCGTCCTCGGCGCAAAACTCGCCAGACAGGATCACCTCTGTGGGGGGAGAGAAAAAGATGTTACCTCCAAGTCAGCCCATGCAAGAGTGAAAGCTCAGATGTTGCACCCAACCGCAGTTGGTGTCTCTGTCTCTCCACCCACCGTTCCATCCCTCTGCTCATCTGTCTCTAGGAATATTCATCTAACCCTGACCATAAGCAAATCACCCACTAATGTAGCTGGTATATCCATCCAACCCTGACCACAAAACATCTATCCATCCCTAGACACCTCCTCTCCCTGCCACCCTACTTCCATCTCTAGACATATCCCATTCATATTTTCATTCATCCATGACGAAAGAATATCCATCCACCCTTCTCTAGATCCACCCTTTTGTTCATCCATACATCCTTCCAACCATTACCACAAACTATGCACATGTCCATTTAATATTAAACCTCAATTTATTGCTGACAACAAACCATCCATCCATCTCTTCATCCATAATCAGAAACCATCCATTTATACATCCACCAATCAACTCCTTGACATCTCCATTCATCTCTGCATTCATTCAGCCATCTCTAGATACAACCATCCAGTCATGGCCAGAAACCATATATCCAACACACAAACAATCCATCCATCCATCCATCCATCCATCCATCCATCCCCTCTCACCTCTGCAGTTATCCATGGTCATGAACCATCCATCATTCCTTCCTTAGACACCACCATCCATCCATGGAGGATGCCCCACCCTTGCATCTCCAGATACATGTATCCATCCATGGCTGGAAACCATCCCTAGACACATTCATCCATCCATCCAAGCATCCCTCCATCCATCTTTCTGTCCATCCATCCGTTCCTCCAACGCTCCTATCTACACATCTCCATCCATCTAATCATCCAGAGAAGCACGTCTCCATCCATCTCTCTCTAGCTACATTCATCCATTCTTTTATCCATCACTGCCTCCATCTGTCCACCTTTAGACACATCCATCCCTGTCACCCACACAAACTTTCCTTCCCTCCATTCATCCACCACAGCCCACGGAGATGAAATGGACACAGAACCTCACTCATCCCATGTGCCACGACCAGGTACCCAGACAGTGAAATTTGCCAGGTGTTAAATTTCAATGTGCCTTAGTTTCCCTGTCTGCAAAAGCTGGCTTTGTGAGACTAAATCCATAAGAGTGAGTGAAGTGCCCGGAATGCTGCCAAGGTTGGGAAGGCCCCCAAAGACCAGAAAGGATGGGTTTCATGTAGGTGGCTCCACGACTCTTATCCCAATGCCCCTGAACACCCATGAGATATTTCAGCCATCTCTGGGGCTGATCATACAGGGTCCACTTCACAAAGGGCAACCTGTCGTTGCCCCGGGAGTGGGATGTGCAGAAGTTGAACTTTGTTGCTATTCCGAAGAGAGTCACCTGTATTTTGTAGCTGGGAATGATTGTTTCTAATCTCCCCTCCCCCACACTAGAAAGCCCCCTTCCCTAGAGGTGTTTGGAGAACAGGTGCATGGATGGGCGTGGGGGCATGTTTCTATGTCCCTCTCTTGGGTGTCTCTCTGTGTGTACAACCAGGACAGCCCAGGTGAGAGAAATCCTGTGTCTTGCCATGTGACCTGTGTGCCCATCTGTATGGGTATGTCTACACTACCACCCTAGTTCGAACTAGGGTGGTTAATGTAGTCATTCGAAGTTGCAAATGAAACCCGGGATTTAAATATCCCGGGCTTCATTTGCATCTTGCCGGGCGCCGCCATTTTTAAATCCCCGTTAGTGCGGATTCCGTGCGTTACCCTCAGAACAAGGTGTAAAGGTAGTTCAAATTAGAAAGCCTAATTCGAACTACCTACTCCGTGCTGCGTGTAGCCGCAGGCACGGAGTCTGCACTAACTGGGATTTAAAAATGGCGGCACCCGGCAAGATGCAAATGAAGCCCGGGATATTTAAATCCCGGGTTTCATTTGCAACTTCGAATGACTACATTAACCACCCTAGTTTGAACTAGGGTGGTAGTGTAGACATACCCTACCAGAGTAGCTTTCTCTCCCCCTCTCCGTCTTTGTCTCTGTCTCTTGCACAGCCAACACCTCACTCTGCATAGAAATCCACCTGCAGCTCCCATGTTGCCCCCAGGAGAGCAGCCCTAACACCTGCCCTGCAGGTGGCGACCTTTTAACCCCAGGTGCCAGCTCTGTGTTTCCACTGCTTGGTGTGAGCCCTGCCCTCAGCCATCCATCTCTGAGGCTGATACACACATGGCAGGACCCTGGAGGGGGCAGGTAGTAGATGGGGCTGATACACACATGGCAGGACCCTGGAGGGAGCAGGTAGTAGATGGGCTCATGTAGGGAGCAATAGCAGAATCTGCATCATGTGGGCCACACCACTACCTGGGCCCTGAAGGTCACCAGAGGTAATGTGACTTTAGCTTAGCTTGGTATCTGCTCCGGATAACAGCCCTACTACTGCTGTTATTTTCAAGGACTTTGTCCCTGTAGCTGATCCTGACTTTTGGCATTTGCTGTATGTTGTCTTGGCTCTCCCTCCTCAGCTACTGCTGAGGATCAGAGGCGATGGGGATGGAGGGAGAGCCTTTGGCCTCCTAGCCAGCAGGTGAATAGTGTTTGGAGGCCAGGGTATTCGAATTACCTAACCCCGCTGTCTGGAAAATCCCTCTGGGGCTTCTGGTCCTGTCTGTGGTGGCAGAGGGTGTGGGGTAAAGTTGATGCTGATATAATGGTAATAGCCTAGAAGAGATCTTGTCTGAATGAGATGCCAGGGATGGCCAGCTACCCACTCAGGCATCCAACGCTCCATCCGATCCTTATCTGGATCCTCCTTCCCCCATAACTTCCATGCAGCCTTATTGACCTACGAACACCATGCTTCTACCTCCACATCCATCCATCCATCCAACCCCATCTACTTATCTAGTTATCCCTTTATGTACCATCCACCTCCCAGAAATCATTGCCATCTGTCCCCTTTAATGCACATTCATCCATTGGCAGATATATATATTCATCTATCCATCCATCCATTGCCTTATTCATCCATGTATTCATCCTCATCCCTCATTACTCACTATCTCTACCTGCCCATCCATCCATCCATCCATCACCTTGGATTCTCATTTTCCTATCACCATTCATCCCCATCGGTGTTGATCCTCATCTCTGTCCATCCATTTCTCACAGTCCATCTATGGCCACCCCCACTCCCATCCCTTCATCCTTCAGAACGGTTCCTCCCTCCAGCCCTCTCCTTAGATTTACCCATCCATCCCCTGCCATGGACTCTCTGGTACCCCAATGTCACCCGTAAATTTTACAGCCATCGGTTCCCCATTAAAATGCAGCCTAATAGAACTGAGTTCTGATACTAGCTCAGTCACTCATGTGAGCTTGGGCAGGTCTGTTCCCATTTGACTGTCTCTCTTTCTTCTCCCTCTTTCTCTATTTGGGTGTGACCCTTTTGACTCCAGTGTCTATTCCTAACATGACCCTGATCTCAGTTAGGGGTAGAGATGCTACTTTACTTCAAATAATTCTCACTCTCTCTGTGATATCTGTTGGTCACTTACACCTCTCAGAAATATGTATGTATTCTTCAAATTGAGAACACATGGCCCTCCAACTGAGCTGGGCTTGAACGTATCTGTTCCTCTGCAATTTCTATGTATATGTTTAAGTGTCTCTCTCGGGCTCTCTCCAACACTGCTTCCATGATGTAGCCACTGAATCTTTCCTTGAATAGCCTCAACCCACCCTTCTTTGATGTCATCTGTCCATCCTTCCTTCTATGGCCTCAGCCTATGTTTCCTTCCATGGCATCTAGACCTCCTTCCTTCCACGCCTTCAACTTTTGTATCTACACATCCTTCCTTCCACGCCTTCAATAGATCCTATTTCCATGCCATCAACTTATCCTTTCTTCAATGGTATCAACCAGTCCTTCCTTCCATGGGACCTATGTGTCAACCCATGTAATCTACTCATGTATCCAACCACCCTTTCTTCCTCGTCATATACTCATGTATCTACCCATCCTTCGCTCCAGAAAACCTACTCATGTATATACCCAACTATTCTTCCATGTCTTCTACTCATGTATATACCCATCGTTCTTTCCACATCATCTACTCATATATCTACTCATCCTTCCTTCCACAGCATCTTGCCATGTAGCTACCCAGGCCTCCATGGTATAGATGTACCCACACATACAGGATCTGCATGTTAGATCCTCAGCCTTGGAGCATCTTGGCATCTCCCAGCTCCCAACTTGAGAATTTCTCCCCCTTGAACAAACCCCAGACTTTACCCAGGGACACCACAACAAAGAGACCTGGGAGTGAGCACATACTAGTTCCATTTATTCACTTGGCATCACTGATGGCACAGAGATTATTTACAGGAAGCTCTCCCAGACAATGCTAGCAGTGGGATGGGGAGAAGATGTCTTCATTTACCGGGGACATGGCGGATGTTGCGTTGGGTGAATTTCATTGGTGTCAGAGCTTCATGGATGACCATGCAGGTGTAGGTGGCCCCGTTGTTCCAGTTGGCCTTGTCGACTGTCATCTTGCTATAGAGGAAGTAGGTTGAATCACCATCTCCTTCCTTCATGGGCGAGGTGGTGACAGATTTGTTGCTGTCACTGGATTGGTGATCCTGCATCCACTTCACTGAGATGTCCTCGGGGAAGAATCCCCGCACCAGGCAGGTGAGGCTGACAGAGTCTCCATTGTTGCTCAGCTCCTCAGGGTGGGGCCGCAGGAGGTAGACACGGGGCGGAGAGCTCTTTCCTTGTGTGGGTGGGGATGGAGGACACAGATGAGCCATGCATATCACTGGGCTGGGGCCACATGGAGAGATGGACAGGGCTGGTGTTTGTGTGGGAGGGAAGAGGGGTGTAGGAACATGCCCACTGTCCTGCAGATTGGTGGGCAGGGCTGGGCCTGGGGTTGTGTTGGCGTGTGGAATGGAAGGTGGGATGGTGTCATCCCATATGGGAACAGAGAGGGGCTAAGGGCCAGGATCCCAGGTTGTTAGGGGCTGGGACTCCCCCTGAAAGACCATCCCTCCCTCATGGGGGCTGTAATAGGAGTCTTTCTCTTAGGGACCATACCCTCCTCCTACCTTGCTTCTTGGAGATGGATTTGATGATGGGTGAGGGAAGCTCTGAGTGCTCCACTTTGCAGCTGTATTTCTCTCCGGCTTCCCAGTCGCGGGGGAAGATGGCCAGGGAGCTGGAGGCGGTGAAGGTGCGGTTGCGCTGCTCAGACAAGACGAGGGGTTCGGGGCTAACGGGCCCTGACTTCTCCCGGGACCAGACCACTTTCAGGTCAGCGTCGTTAGGCAGGTTGACGACCAGGCAGGTGAGCGTGGGGCTGAGGCCCACATAGAGCTCAGAAGGGGGTGGGGGCACCATGAAGATCAGGATGTTGCTGGTAGATGTAGATAAGTCTGGAAACAGGAGAAACTGAGTCAGCCACTAGACCTGCTCTCCCTCTCCCAAGCCCACCCCAATCTCCCTTCTCCTCCCTCAAACCCAGCCCAGTTTCCCTTTCCCACCCTTCCTAAGTATCCCGGCTCTGTGTCACCTTTGCACTTTCGGGCTTGGTCCTCCACTGTATTGCCCTGGTGGGACACCCTGCAGGTGTACGTCTTGTCCTCCATCCAGTCATCTTGGGAGATGCTTGCTGTGGGTGCTGAAGGTGGGGCTACTGGCATCCTTCTTGGCAGGGGCCGTATCTCCACGAAGCTGCCCAGACACACCATCCACCAGCCACTCCACCGTCAGGGGCATAGGGTAGAAGCCGGAGATGAGACAGAGCAGGTGGATGGTGCTTGGCTTGGTGGTGCAGGAGGAGTGGTAGACTTGCACCGTGGGTTGGACGCTTGCAGGTTCTGGGAGGAGAGTGGCAGGTGTCAATTGTTTTACAGGCCCCTACTGGTCTCTCCACCCCCCTTTCCATGTAGCTTGGTCCTCCCCATCTGGCATTCTGCTCCCGACTGCATGGTGCCCACTTCGAAGACCTCTGCCCCACCTTCCAGTACCGTTGCTTCTCTTTGCAGGGTCTCTCTTTTCATCCCTCCCCCTTTCTCTGCATGACTGCCCACGCTCCCACCCTCTCTCCTTACAACCATCATTGCATTACAACCTCCCTCTCCCCTCTCGCAGCCGCGCTGCCCCTACTTGGGATTTCCTTGGTGATGCTGGAGCTGGTGGGTTCGTGCTTGACGTTGCAGTGATAGGTGTTGGATTCCCAGCTGCTGGCCGGGACGGTGGCTTGGCTGCTGAGTGAGTAGAGGTCGCCAGAAGTGTGCTCCTCTCTCCTTACAACCATCATTGCATTACAACCTCCCTCTCCCCTCTCGCAGCCGCGCTGCCCCTACTTGGGATTTCCTTGGTGATGCTGGAGCTGGTGGGTTCGTGCTTGACGTTGCAGTGATAGGTGTTGGATTCCCAGCTGCTGGCCGGGACGGTGGCTTGGCTGCTGAGTGAGTAGAGGTCGCCAGAAGTGTGCTTCATGGAGGGGTAGGTCTTCAGACCCGTGGAGCCGATGCTGGGGCTCCACTCCACAGAGACCGGCTCAGGGAAATAGCCTTTGACCAGGCAGCCGAAGGTGACCTGAGAGGTGGTGGCTTCAGCAGAGCAGGAGGTGAGGGGAAAGACGGACGGGGCTTTGGGACTAACTGCAAAAAGAGAAAGAGAAAGACCATGAGATGTGGCAGAAAGGATCAGAGGGAAAAGGAGGCAGAGAGAGACAGAGTTGAGTAGAGAACCTCTAGTCTTTCAAACGAACGATGCCCGGTGCAAATGTCCCATTGTACCCTAGAAAGCATTAATTTCACCAAATAGAGGGTTGTACCAGGAACTGGAGGTGGCATTTTCCTGAGGAACCAAGGGGAATTAAATGCTCAAGTGGCAGAGAAATTTCCCTTGGAGAAATCTCAGCTTCTGCAGCTAGAAACAACCCAAGATTTTGACCATAAAAGTGAAATTTGAGGACATTAGAGGGCTCTCCAAAGAGGTGCTGTGTCACTAACTTTTGATTTCTTAAGGTTCTGGCTGAAGATGTGTGCATGTTGTTCTTGCAGTACTAGCTGGGCAGGGATATTGAATACCATACTCTCATTTGGCTCCCAAGTTCATTGCTAGGACCCTTCGCCCCCTAGTGGCTCGTTATCAAGTCTGTTGCTCACTGAGTTGGTAAGTGTCCTGGGAAGTCCCTGGATTCTTTATAGGAATGGCCGGGATTTTCCAAGTCATCTGAGCCATGTGGGCTGTTTGGGTGAGAGTAAGTCTTAATATTATGAATAGGCGAGGAGTGAATGGTTCTGATGAAGTGCTCTGGGATACAGAGGAAATATTAAATGCCATAGCGAGTGCTCAGGGTCCAATACCTTCCCACGCTCCAGTTTGATATCGGACGTGTTGTGGTTGGATTTCAACCAGGTGAGTGAGACTTTGGGCTCCTAACCCCAGGGGCCAATTTGCCAAGATACATGATAGTTCTGGTGCCAGGATCTTGATTCCCAACTGGTGATGTGGAACCCTGTGGGCTTAGGGTCATGGGGAAGTGGTTAGGGGTAGCACTGGGGTTATGGTTAAGGGTAGAATTGTTCTTTAGTTCTTTTCGCACAATGGTCTAGAAATCAAAGGTCAAGGACCTATCACACCATGTCCTTTAAAAAGAATTAACAAGGAGAAATCTACACATCTCAAGACCATGGCAACCTGAGACAGGATTTGAGGGTAAGGTTTGGGATGTTGTGGTTAGGGGGTTGGGTTCAAAGAGATGGTCAAAGATGAGGGTGAGAATTAGGGAATAGGGATAGTAGAGCCGGGATTAACAGTGAGATTAGGATTGTAAGGAAATGGGGATGATTCAGGTGTGGGGGGGTCAAGGAGCTGGTTCATCTTTTGGAAGCTGGAAGTTGGGTAGAGGCTCATGGTTAAGGAGTTGGGGGTATAAAGAGTTGGGTTTAAGGGTTGGGTTAGGGTGAGAATTCTGGGATTTGGCTAACAAACTCAATCTTGGACAGGCTATCATACCCTCTAGCTGACAGCTTTACTAACCCGATTTTCCATTCACAGAATCGTGCACATTCCAACCGATTTGGATGAATATTTTGCATGCCACTTTCCTAACTTGTATGGGAGAAAAATTGTAGGTGACTCAATTTCTGGGAGTTCAAACTGAAGGCATCTTGGAGAACAGATACCCGCATCTCCATCTCCAGTCGGAGATGTGGGAGCAGCTCTTCCCTGGAAAGGGAGAGCCACACAATAGAGAGCCAGATTTATTCACAGGCTAAATTATAGGCCTGAACACTGAGCTGTCATCAGTCCCCCCACTGCCAGCCAAGGACACATGTTGCTCTGCAGGGAACCCCCCACGCTCGGCTCTCGGCATGGAGCACAAGCACAAAGCTAGCAGAGGAACGCAGGGAAAGCGCAGAGAGACCCTCTCCTGCATTCGGTGAGTTCAGGGTGTTTCCTCAGACAAGGAACACCCCCAAAGGGCAAATCTGTGCCCGTCTTTAGAAAGTTTTCAGTTGCAAATTTTTTTTAAAATTGGACTAAAAAGACAAGACAATTAAATCCCCATCGGGAAAAAAAAAGTTCAGTCGGGCTGCAGAGAAGAGAGGATTCAGTCCCAGTAGAAGTAACTCAGGGGATGTCCCCACAGCCCCAAATCACAGACTGGGCTACCCCAACTCTGGGGCACCTCTCATCTCAGCCTCCGGATAGCCCAGCCTCCGGATCCCCCAGCCTCCGAATACCCCAGACTCCGGATCCCCTAGCCTCCAGATCCCCCAGCCTCCAAATACCCCAGCCTCCGGATACCCTAGCCTCCAGATCCCCCAGCCTCCGAATACCCCAGCCTCTGGATCCCCCAGCCTCTGGATACCCCAGCCTCCAGATCCCCTAGCCTGTCCTGACCAATTCATTGACAGTGCCCCACACTCCTCATCTGCACCTGCCTGATATCCACACCGTGGGCTCCCCAGCCCTTGCCCACCCCTGGACCCCCCCTGCCAGCACCCGTCACTCCCAACTTGCAGCTCCTGCCAGCCCATCCTTGGGCTCCCTCTAAGACTGCTGGTGCCCCTCACTCCTGTCCCTCAGCCTCTGATAGGCCTGGTATCCAGTCCTGAGCTCCCAAGCCCTGCTGGTGTCCCCCAGTCAATGCTGAGGGTGAGAGTGAGGGAGTAGGGGCTGCTGTCCCTCACTCCTGACCTTTATCTCCATCAAGCCCAGCTCCACAACCCCTCCCCTGCCGGTGCCCCTCATGCTCAACCCACAGTTCCTCCAACCTGGTGCTCCTCACTCCCAACCCACAGTTACTGCCTGCCCAACCCTGGGCTCCCCCCTGTGCTGGTGCCCCTCACTCCTGACCTGCTGCTCCAACTAGCCAAGCCCTACAACCCCAGCCCTGCCAGTGCCCCTCATCCCTGACTCACAGCCCCTGCCAGCCTAGCCCCTGCCCCCAAGTCTTGCTGGTACCCCTGGCTCCCGACCTGTAGCCCCACCCAGCCAAGCCCTACACCCTGATCCTCACTCCCAACCCAGAGGTCGCTACTCCGCAGCTCTGCTAATGTCCCTCACACCCGACCCCCAGCCCCTGCTAGCCCAGCCCTGGGACCCTCCTCAGCCCTGCCAGGGCCCCTGAATCCTGACCCGCAGCCCCTGCCAGCCCAGCCCAACACCCCACCCAACCCAGAGGTCGCTACTCCGCAGCTCTGCTATGCCCCCCCCCCCCCGCCCCCCAGCCCCTGCTAGCCCAGCCCTGGGACCCTCCTCAGCCCTGCCAGTGCCCCTGAATCCTGACCCGCAGCCCCTGCCAGCCCAGCCCAACACCCTAAGTCCTGCTGGTGCTCCTCACTCCCAACCCAGAGCTCACTGCCCCCCAGCCGTGCTGCTGCCCCTCATTCCCAACCTACAGCCACTGCCAGACCAGTCCTGGCCCCCCAACCCAGCCTGTGCCCTGTGCTCTTGACCCATAGTCCCAGCCAGCCTAACCCTACAATCCGAGCTATGCCAGGGTCCCTCACTCCTGACTGACCATGCCTTCTCAGCCCTCAGCTTCTCCAGCCCTGCTGGTCCCCCTCAGTCCCAACCTGCAGCCTCTGCTAGCCCAGCCCCTCCGTCTAGCACTGCCAGTGCCTTTCACTCCTGACCCACAGTTCTTGCTGGCCCAGCCCTACACTCCGAGTCCTGCCGGTGCCCCTCCCTCCCGCCCAGCTCCTGCTGGCTCAGTTCTGCCCCCACCCAGCCCTGTTAGTGCTCATCACTCCTAACCCACAGCCTCTGGCAGCCCAGCCATGGGCCTCCCTCAGCCCTGCCAGTGCCCCTCACGCCTGACCTGCAGCCCCTGCCAGCCCAGCCCTGGCCCCCCTGTCCTGCCAGGGACCCTGACTCCTGACCTGCAGCCCCACACAGCCCAGCCCTACACCCCGAGTCCTGCCAGTGCTCCTCGCTCCCAATCTAGAGCTCACTGCTCCACAGCTCTGCTGGTGATCCTTGCTCCCAACCTGCAGCCCCAGTGAGCCCAGCCCCAGCCCCCCAGAGCAGACTGTGCCCCTCACTCCCAACCCATAGCCCCAGACAGCCTACCGCAGTCCCTGCTAGCTCAGCTGCATTTCTCCAGTTCCCTTTCTGCCCCTCACTCACGTCCCCCAGCCCTGTCTTGTGCTCCCCGCAGCCCTGCCAATGCCCCCATGCCCAATCCACGTCCCCTGCTAGCTCAGTTCTGGGCTCCCCCCAGACTCTGCTTTTGCCCCCGTGTCTGAGCTCTTGGGACCCGGGAATCCTTTCATCCCTGGTTTCCCAGCTGCTGGGTGGGGTGTGAGGGATGCAGCTCTGTCCCCTCATCTCTACCTTGGGAGCACAGCCTGCCCTGAGTTACCCCAGCACACATAGGCCGTGCATGGAGGGCCATGTGCTGCACCCTGCCCCACTACTGCATCTGCACAGGGGGACGTGCCCCATGTCTCTTCAGAGGTCAGGGGAGCCCTCAGCCTGCCTGGCTCCCAGCCCCACCTCTTCCTCAACCACTAGCTCCCACTCTCCTCCTCCCCCAAAGTCCTGACTCCTTTCTCAAGCACCCACACACACTTGCTGTGGTAGGAGAAAGCACCCCTGCACTCACGTGAGAAGCTAAGAGTTCACGGACCAAACGACCAGCCATGGTGGGTCACGGCCGGGCACTCTAGGCTGGGGGGTCTATCCAGGAACCCAGCGCTGCTCCGTGTCTACCGTGCTGTTCCTTTGAGGGATCTGTGCCTCTGAGACAGCCCCTCTCCTTCCCATAAATGAAAGTCAAGATAATTGTCAACCGAGAAGATTGGAGGATGCCCAGTGGGGGCAAACAGGGCTAGCGCTGGTTAGAAAGTGTGAAATTCTCACAGCTGGGTGAGTGCCAGGAGGAAACCTGGGGTGAAAAAATAACTGAGGTGCGACTTTCACTGGTGCCAACTTCCCCTTTTTAGCCATGTTGTTTGTTTGTTCATTTCTTGGTTGCTTCCCCCTAGAGAGATGCACACGAAAGCTGCAGAGCTCAGAGATATTTGATATTCCTGGTGTGGGAGAGGGGTGGGAATCACAGGTTTGAAAGAGACCTCAGGAGTCATCAAGACCAACCTGCTGCTCAAAGCAGAACCAACCCTAACACAATCACCCAGCCAGGGCTTGGTCAAGGCAGGAGTTCAACACCTCTTGGGATGGAGATTCTATCCCACCCTTGGGAACACATCCCACTGCTACCCCACCCTCCGAGACAGAGAGATCCTGTACATAGCTGTGCACAGGGATTGTGTCTCCCTCTGGCTAACTTTTCTTCTTACCTCTGCTGGTGGATTGCCTGCATTATACCAAGGTTTCACGTCTTTGCTCCTGCAAAGACAGTAAGCAGCAGCTGGGAGGTTTCTCAGCACTATGACGGGTGGTGGAACATCTCCTGCAACTTGGCATGTTTATGCATCATCCATTTCTGGCCCTTAAGGAAAGAAGAAAGGATCCCTTGGATAGGATGCACGCTCCTGCCTTAAGGCCCCAACAACTGGCCAAGACCAAACCATTAGGAAGAGACCCTAAAGCTGGCTTTAAAAACTCCAGTCCTGGAGACACCACTGCCATCTGGCAACATGGACGGCAACCCGCAGAATCACTTTGGAATTTCCCCAGCAGCTGTTAGTGTCTCAGAGCATAGAGAAGGGCTCAGATACGGAAGGGGGGTGGGTTGGAAGATCCAGCTTCACAGGCAAGCAGGGACCCGGGGAGAAAGTGCATGCTTTATTCCCTCCATCCCCTGATGTCAGAATCCCAATTCTTGTGGGTTTTGGTTACTTCTTCATGATGGAAACTTAGACTCGCAGGCCAATTGGACAATTTGAGACACAAAGGCAGAGAGAAGGGGCCAGCCTAAAGACCGAGATGTCCCCATTGCTCAGCCAGTGAGTTAACCACTAGGCCATACAGCCATCAGGCCATGGAAGGAGGAGGACGGATGGTTGATTGGTAGCATAGTTTTCCGATTTTTACTCTTTTGATGGGTTCCTTTTTATTCTCATTGTTTCTCTTCTATCAGTGGGACGCAGCACTCCCTCCGTCTTCCCCCTGGTGTCCCGATGCAGCAACACAGGCAACAATCCCACAGGCATGAACTTGGCCTGCCTGGTGACTGACTATTTACCATCGCCAGTGAATATCCAGTGGAATTCCGGCACAGTGACCAAGGGGGTCCGAGATTTTCCAGAGATGCTGTCTGCGAACGGGCTTTACACCCAGACCAGCTTGCTCACCATCCCTGATGGGACCCAGAAGAGCGACAGCTACCGGTGTGATGTCACACATGCAGGGTTCAGACAGCCAGTGTCCAAGACGTTCCCGCAGAAATGTAAGACAGACAACTCCCCATGAACCCCAGGCCAAAGAAAACAATATGGAGAAATGCACCCCAGGCACACCCCCATATTCCACTATAGAGGGGAGGGATTTCCAGTCCAGCCTAATGGATTTAGGCACCTAATTCCAGTGGGATGTTGGTGTCCAACCTCGGGAAAATTTCAGGCACGGGCCTAGGCAGAAATGGCTCCTAATCCCCATGCTACTGCTTGTGTATGTGGGAAAATGTTGGTTCTCTGTCTCACCTCATAGCACTAACTCTGACCCTAATCCTAGTTCAAACTGCTTGTAATCTGATTGGCTGATACACCTGCTAGGAATATAAACCAATGACCAAACTCCCCTTCATTGCAAAACCCAGCTTTGATCACACACAAGAGATCAAACAAAACCAACACAAGTCAGAGCACGGGTTCCCAGCCTCCAGAGTACAGCGAGCTGGCTGGGGTGGACACCCTCCACACCTGGATGATTCCTAGGTCTTCTGCCTGGTCCTCATGTAGAGAGTTCCCCCTCGGATCTGTGTCCCTCACTCCCATCCCGCAGCCCCCCAGTCCTGCTTTGGGCTCCCTGCAGCTCTTCCCCTGCCCCTCAGTCCCAAGCTGTGTCCCCTACTAGCTCAGTTCCGGGCTCCCCCCAGACTTTGTTGTTGCTCCCACGCCTGAGCTCTTGGGACCCAGGAACCCTTTCACCCCTGGTTTCCCAGCTGCTGGGTGGGGTGTGAGGGATGCAGCTCTGTCCCCTCATCTCTACCTTGGGAGCACAGCCTGCCCTGAGTTACCCCAGCACACATAGGCCGTGCATGGAGGGCCATGTGCTGCACCCTAGGGGGACATGCCCCATGTCTCTTCAGAGGTCAGGGGAGCCCTTAGCCTGCCTGGCTCCCAGCCCCACCTCTTCCTCAACCACTAGCTCCCACTCTCCTCCTCCCCCAAAGTCCTGACTCCTTTCTCAAGCACCCACACACACTTGCTGTGGTAGGAGAAAGCACCCCTGCACTCACGTGAGAAGCTAAGAGTTCACGGACCAAACGACCAGCCATGGTGGGTCACGGCCGGGCACTCTAGGCTGGGGGGTCTATCCAGGAACCCAGCGCTGCTCCGTGTCTACCGTGCTGTTCCTTTGAGGGATCTGTGCCTCTGAGACAGCCCCTCTCCTTCCCATAAATGAAAGTCAAGATAATTGTCAACCGAGAAGATTGGAGGATGCCCAGTGGGGGCAAACAGGGCTTGGGCTGGTTAGAAGGTGTGAAATTCCCACAGCTGGGCAACGGGCGAGAGGAAACCCAGGGTGAAAAAATAACTGAGGTGCGACTTTCACTGGTGCCAACTTCCTCTTTTTAGCCATGTTGATTGTTGTTTATTTGTTGGCTGCTTCTCCCCAGAGAGATGGGCATGAAAGCTGCAGAGCTCAGAGATATTTGATGTACCCTAGTGGGGGAGGGGTGGGATTCACAGGTTTGAAAGAGACCTCGGGAATCATCACGTCCAACCCGCTGCCCAAAGCAGGACCAACCCCAACTCCATCATCCCAGTTAGGGCTTGGTCAAGCCGGGACTTCAACACCTCTAGGGATGGAGATTCCACCCCTTTTCTAGGGAACCCAGCTAGGTGCTTCCGCATCCTCCTAGTGAGACAGCCAGATGGACAGACAGATAGACAGACAGATCAATCTTCAATGTACAGTTGAAGAGTAATCTTATACTCTATTTTCTTTCTACCATCAGGAAACACAGCCCCATCTGTCTTCTCCCTGGCTTCCTGCTGCACCAGCACAAGCAGCGCTTGCCGAGATAGACACCTTGTCTGTCTTGTGACCGGCTATTCACCATCATCAGTGAGAATCCGGTGGAATTCTGGCAGAGTGACCGAGGGGGTGCGGGACTTCCCAGAGATGATGGCCAGGAATGGGCTTTACACCCAGATCAGTCAGCTCACCATCCCTGCTGGTGACTGGAGGGGTGACACCTACCAGTGCGATGCGACACACGATGCGACAAGGCGAACACTGTCCAAGACGTTCCCAGAGGAATGTAAGACGGGCGATGGGGGGTAGTTGGGACAGCCAGGCAGAGATTTTGAAATTTCATAGGCACCTGAGACCAATTAAAGCGAATCTACACCCCTGCGGGAGTCTTGGGGGGGAATGTCACACTGGAATACTGGCCAAGCATTGGCCAACTTTTGAAACACAAGGCACGCCCTCCATACTCGCCCCTCCTTGCGTCCCTCCTAATAGATCGAACAATATGGGAACACTTAAGGTAGAATGCACGTATGGGCAGAGCACTGTCTTCCACTGATGGGGTGGTTTTCCTGTTTGGCTTCAAGATTTAGGTGCCTGATTCCCTTGGGAATATGGGCTGTCTCTACACTGGCATGAATTTCCGGAAATGCTTAAAATGGAATACTATTCCGTTTTCAGCTTTTCTGGAAAAGGAGCGTCTGCATTGGCAGGCTGCTTTTCCAGAAAAGCCCTTTTTTCCGGAAAAGCGTCTGTGGCCAATGTAGACGCGCTTTTCCGGAAAAAAGCCCCGATCGCCATTTTCGCGATCGGGGCTTTTTTCTGGAAAAGACTACTGGGCTGTCTACACTGGCCCTTTTCTGGAACAGTGTTCCGGAATAAGGACTTATGCCCGAGCGGGAGCAGAATAGTTTTTCCGGAATAGCGGCTGATTTTGTACAGTAGAGCATCGTTGCTTTTCCGGAAATTCAAGGGCCAGTGTAGACAGCTCGCAGCTTATTCCGGAAAAGCGGCTGATTTTCCAGAATAAGGACACGGGCGGGAGTCCCCCCCCCCCCCCCACACACACGCTGCCCATGTTTCCCACTCCTGATGCACAGCCCCTGCTAATTGCTCAGCCCTGGGATCCCCGCAGTCCCTGCTAGCTCAGCTACGTTCCACCAGCTGCATTTGTGTCCCTCACTCCCATCCCGCAGCCCCCCAGTCCTGCTTTGGGCTCCCTGCAGCTCTTCCAGTGCCCCTCAGTCCCAAGCTGTGTCCCCTACTAGCTCAGTTCCGGGCTCCCCCCAGACTTTGTTGTTGCTCCCACGCCTGAGCTCTTGGGACCCAGGAACCCTTTCACCCCTGGTTTCCCAGCTGCTGGGTGGGGTGTGAGGGATGCAGCTCTGTCCCCTCATCTCTACCTTGGGAGCACAGCCTGCCCTGAGTTACCCCAGCACACATAGGCCGTGCATGGAGGGCCATGTGCTGCACCCTGCCCCACTACTGCATCTGCACAGGGGGACATGCCCCATGTCTCTTCAGAGGTCAGGGGAGCCCTTAGCCTGCCTGGCTCCCAGCCCCACCTCTTCCTCAACCACTAGCTCCCACTCTCCTCCTCCCCCAAAGTCCTGACTCCTTTCTCAAGCACCCACACACACTTGCTGTGGTAGGAGAAAGCACCCCTGCACTCACGTGAGAAGCTAAGAGTTCACGGACCAAACGACCAGCCATGGTGGGTCACGGCCGGGCACTCTAGGCTGGGGGGTCTATCCAGGAACCCAGCGCTGCTCCGTGTCTACCGTGCTGTTCCTTTGAGGGATCTGTGCCTCTGAGACAGCCCCTCTCCTTCCCATAAATGAAAGTCAAGATAATTGTCAACCGAGAAGATTGGAGGATGCCCAGTGGGGGCAAACAGGGCTTGGGCTGGTTAGAAAGTGTGAAATTCTCACAGCTGGGTGAGTGCCAGGAGGAAACCTGGGGTGAAAAAATAACTGAGGTGCGACTTTCACTGGTGCCAACTTCCCCTTTTTAGCCATGTTGTTTGTTTGTTCATTTCTTGGTTGCTTCCCCCTAGAGAGATGCACATGAAAGCTGCAGAGCTCAGAGATATTTGATATTCCTGGTGTGGGAGAGGGGTGGGAATCACAGGTTTGAAAGAGACCTCAGGAGTCATCAAGACCAACCTGCTGCTCAAAGCAGAACCAACCCTAACACAATCACCCAGCCAGGGCTTGGTCAAGGCAGGAGTTCAACACCTCTTGGGATGGAGATTCTATCCCACCCTTGGGAACACATCCCACTGCTACCCCACCCTCCGAGACAGAGAGATCCTGTACATAGCTGTGCACAGGGATTGTGTCTCCCTCTGGCTAACTTTTCTTCTAACCTCTGCTAGCAGATTGCCTGCATTATAAAAAGGTTTCATGTCTTTGCTCCTGCAAAGATAGTGATGAGCAGCTGGGGGGTTCCTAGCAGTACGATGGGCGGTGGAACGTCTCCTGCAACTTGGCATGTTTAGACCTCATCCATTTGTGGCACTTAAGGATAGAAGAAGGTGTCCCTGGGATGGGATGTACGTGTCCCATGGATGCTCCTGCCCTAAGACCCCAACATCTGTCCAAGACCGAGCCATTAGGAAGAGACCCCAAAGCTGGCTTGAAAGACTCCGGTCCTGGAGACTCCACCTCAATCTGGCAATACAGACGGCAACCCGCAGAATTTTCCCAGCAGCTGTTAGTTTCTCAGAGCAGAGCGAAGGGCCAAGATTCCGAAGGGGGGTGTGTTGAAAGATCCAGCTTCACAGGCAAACGTGTTGCCTTATCTCCTCCATCCCCTGATGTCAGAATTCCAGTTCTTCTGGGTTTTGGCCATTTCTTCATGATGGAAAGTTAGACTCACAGGCCAATTGGACAATTTGAGAAACAAAGGCAGAGAGAAGGGGCCAGCCTATGGACCCAGATGTCCCCATTGCTCAGCCAGTGGGTTCACCACTAGGCATACAGCCACCACGCCGTGGAAACAGGTGGATGGATGGTTGATTGGTAGTACGGTTTTCCGATTTTTCCTCCTTTTTGATAGTTTCACTTTTATTCTTTGTTTCTCTTCTATCAGTGGGACGCAGCGCTCCCTCCGTCTTCCCCCTGGTGTCCTGCTGCAGCAACACGGGCAACGATCCCACAGGCATGAATTTGGCCTGCCTGGTGACTGACTATTTACCATCGCCAGTGAAAATCCTGTGGAATTCCGGCAGAGTGACCAAGGGGGTCCAGGATTTTCCAGAGATGCTGGCCTGGAACGGGCTTTACACCCAGACCAGCTTGCTCACCATCCCTGATGGGACCCAGAAGAGTGACAGCTACCGGTGTGATGTCACACATACAGGGTCCAGACAGCCAGTGTCCAAGATGTTCCCGCAGAAATGTAAGACAGACAACTCCCCATGAACCCCAGGCCAAAGAAAACAATATGGAGAAATGCACCCCAGGCACACCCCCATGTTCCACCATGGGTGGGGGGGATTTTCAGTCCAGTCTAATGTATTTAGGCACCTAATTCCTGTGGGAGGTTGGTGTCCAACCTAAGGAAAATTTCAGGTGCTGGCCTAGGCAGAAATGGCTCCTAATACCCATGCTGCTGCTTCTGTACGTGGGAAAATTTTGGTTCTCTGTCTCACCTCATAGCATTAACCCTGACCCTAATCCTATCTCAAACTGCTTGTAATCTGATTGGCTGATACACCTGCTAGGTATATAAACCAAAGACCAAACTCCCCTTCATTGCAAAACCGAACTTTGTTCACACACAAGAGCTCAAACAAAACTAGCCCAACTCAGAGCACAGGTTCCCAGGCTCCAGAGTACAGCAAGCTGGCTGGGGTGGACACCTTCCACACCTGGATGTTACCTAGGTCTTCTGCCTGGTCCTCATGTAGAGAGTTCCCCCTCAGATGCTTTCCTTAACAAGGAGCCAGAAGACTTCCCTTCCCTTGATTAGAACAGACAGTCCCATGAAACGGGTGAGGGGAGGGGGAGGAGAAGGAACTTACTTAGAAAAAAAAGTTCAAACAAACACTGCTCCAGTTCCAGCTTTGTCCCTGCTGTTTACCAGGGAGACCACAATTCATGCAGCAGATACAAAAACATCCCAGGGAGGCAGAGAAACTTTGTCTATAATATTTACGGGCCCGGTTCCCATTTATTTTCATACCTATTACAGCTCGCAAAATCTCAGCCCTAGAGGTTGAACGAAGTTGTGCAGGTGAACTTACCTCAAACAGGGGGAGGGTTTTGCTAGAGCTGGGATGACCATAGTGCCACGACTTGCTCTGGAAGGTAATCTACAGAGTGACACTGAGCTGTGTTGTCCCCTCTCTCTGATCTCAGCGTGTGCTCCGATGATGCCGCCCCAGGTTCACCTCCTGGTCCCTTCCTGTGAGGACCGCTCCACGGAGAGCCAGCTGGAGCTGGTTTGCCTTCTCCTGACCTTCCAACCCGGCAACGCTGAAGTGAGATGGCTGGTGAACGGAAAGCTGATGAGCCGTCCCGCCCCAGCCTTCTCCTCTGCAAAAAACGCAGAAGGCGCTTACATGGGCCAGAGCCCCTTGAAGGTCACCAGGCAGAGCTGGGAGAAAGGGGACGTATTCTCCTGCCAAGTCACCCATCCAGCGTGGGGAACGGAGCCCTCCATGTACAACACCAGCAAGTGCTTAGGTGAGGGGCTACGGCCGTGCAGGATAGGAAGTGGAGATGGAGAATTCCTGATAAGCCAGCCTAAGGATAGGTTGGGCTGCACTGAGACCCCAGGGTGGTGGGTGAGGTGGAGATACAGTTGAGAAATTGATACAGGATGTGAATGGAAACAGAATGAGACAGGAGGGAGGGATGCTGTAGATGTCGTGGAAGGGGAGTATAAATAAATAATGAGAAGGCCACGGTATGAAACCTGTTGGTGCAACTTTGAGCAGAAGATTGGACTAGACTTGCTAAGATCTCTTCTAAACCGCCTTGTCTATGATACTAAGCCATGGTAGATATTTCTCTAGCGCTATACCTAACACAGGTAGCTACCAGTTATAGCGAATTGACCATGGGCTTCTGGGGATGGGCACCTGACAGAGCCCCGGAGCCTCCTCTCATGGTTTTAAGGTTGTAGGTGGATGAGATAAGCCTTTGTACATCCTTAAGCATTTCAAAACAAAGATTTTCATGTGCTCTGATTTCCAATTATTTTAAGGAAAATCTTTGCGACACTCTGCAGGGTTCCTATGGGATTAAGTGTCACCTTTTTTCCTTCCCACATTATTGCATTTCACAGCCTGCCCCAAAAGCGCCCTGGAGCCAAATATCTACATGACGAAACCTGCCTACGAAGACATGATCAAGAATTCTGGCCGCATGACCTGTCTAGTCACGGGTTATGAATTAGCCGCCACCACAGTCACCTGGATGGTGAACAGTTGGGTCAGCTATGAGGGAAAAACAGACAGTCCCAAGAAGAACATCAATGGAACCAGCAGCCTGGTCAGCTCCCACCCAGTGTCACAGGCACAGTGGACACAAGGCACCAGATTTACCTGCAAAGTCAGCACGCTCTGTTCTACAGAACTCACCCAGGAGTTAACCACCATCAATAAAGGTGAGTGGCCTTGGTGTGGCAAAGGGAAAGGCAACTCCAGTCATTCCTAGCTGTTGAGCTCTGATTTAAGTCCCCCTAATGGTGAAAAGGAAGTCTTTTGGTTCAAGCTTTGGGATGCAGGAATAGCTCAAAGGCCCATGCCCATCTGAATTATGGTAATGTCAATCGGAGGTGAGGCACATGTTGACGACCCAGAAGAAGAGGAAGATGACATCCATGAAGAAGAGAAAGACAGTAAACAGGCTGAGGGAGAAAGAGAAAGAATATGAGAACGCTGAAGCAGACAAAGGAAAAAAATGAAGATGCTGATAATAAAGGTCATGATCTGATGGAGTCAAAACTAATTAGGAAGTCAGTGATTATATAGCTGAGGGAAGTGAAAAAAAATTGAATTTGATGATAGTGAGAAAGACAAATACAAAGTAGATGTTAAGTTGTTGCTATTTAACTGTGAGGAACCAGAAGTTCATTGCGATTTCTGAGTGAAAGATGTGATATTTTAGTTGAATCTTTCGGTGAAGGTCCAAGGACTTTGAGATGATGCCCAGTATTGGGTTTTCCTTCTGCCTGGTCCAGCATCATGCTGATCCTGAACTTTTCCTCTTCCTGGTCCCTTTATCGACGGATAGATGTTGGATCTGAGTCCTTACATTAGTCGTGCAACTAAGTCTAAATGTTTTCTTCTCTCTCTTCTTTTTCATGTAGGTGTCATTATGAAGGAGCCTTCCATCACCATCTCAAAAGACTACCATGAAGACATCACAGGAAACAGAGTCTCTGTGACTCTTGTCTGCGAAGTTAGTGGCTTTTCACCAGAAGACATCAGCATCTCCTGGTTGAAGAACAATTCCCCGGTCCTGAAATCACGTTACAATAATGGCCCTGTGACAGGAAGCGGCACCTTCTCAGCCTACAGCATCCTAAAGGTAGATCAAGGTGAAGGAGAAGGAAATTACGCCTGCATGGTGCGTCACCCAGCCCTGCATGAGCCCAAGAATGTTGTGGAAAAGGTGTGCTTTGGTAAGTCAGGGTTAGTTAAGGAAGATCCGTGAGATTTGTCATCCCATCCAACCATTTCCCTGAAAAAGTAAATGAATCTATGTAAGGCGGGAGGTGCCTCATTGAAAGATTTCCATTTACATCATGATGACTTCTTTGGTGACTTGAAGAACTGCAAGATTTACAGCTATTTGACCCAGGTGGGGAATCTTCACTCTGCTCCAGTTCAGAAGAGCTCCCTGTCCCCGCAAGCCATTATCCAGTCTGATATATCTCAAGCCGTTGGCATCCCAACACACCCCTTAATGTGATGATGTGAGAGCCTCCAGGTCCCTATGACCACTAAAAGAACTGCACGAAAAATGTCCTCCATACATCAGGGAATTCTGGGCAGGAAGCAGCATGTAACTAGATTGGGCTGTGATTTGGGCAACAAGTTGCGATGGACACTCTTGTACGTGGGGCAACGTCACAGCGGTCATTCGTGGCTGGGGCGGAATTCACTGATATTTTCCCCCCTTTCAACCGTTAGCCTCACTTTGATTTGTGTGCTTTCCGACTAGACATGGTATCACATTCACCCCATTTCAGGTTCACAGTTTTATATGTAGGTTCCCTTCCTATTCCTCAAATTTACTCTTGGCACATTGGCAATGTGTTCATGGATCTGCAGCCATAAGAGGTGCCGGATAAGATCTAGTCTCAAGGATGGGGCTGTGAGGGCGGTGTGTTCAAAGCGTCTGGTGGATGTGAGAGCCAGTGGATGTGAATCCACAACCCACAGGCACCTTTCAGAAAAAAAATCTCACTCTGGAAGACTGGAAAAAGTTTGATCTAGTTTTGAAACCGAGGTCCTTCTCCAGCTTGATTCTGGCTTGTATATTTATACCTGCCTCTGGAAATTTCCACTACATGCATCTGACGAAGTGGGTCTTTGCCCACGAAAGCTTATGCTCCTACACTTCAGTTAGTCTACAAGGTGCCACAAGATTCCTTGCCGCTTTTAGAGGTCCTTGTGGCACTTTGTCATTGCAGGACTCCGTCCCTCAGGGTATGTCTACACTACTCCACTAGTTCGAACTAGGAGGGTAGTGTAGACATACCCTCAGGGAGTCCTGAACCAGGAAAACCTTATATTGAAATGCACCTCTGGGCAGTTGCCCGTGTTACACTAAGGGGGAGATTTTTCAGTCCCATCTCAATGATGTAGGTGCCTGATTCCCATGAAAGTTGTGATTAAAATCCTCAGGAACCTTGGGAATTCATACACACACAGCTGGCTTGAAATCGCTGCTAATCCTCATGACGCCCCCTCACGTATGGGGGAATCTTCAGCTCACTGCCTTACCTATCTTGCAGAGAGTGACTCTGAACTGTGTTTTCCCCTCTCTCTGTTCTCAGCTTGTGGTCCGATGATGCCTCCCCAGGTTCACTTCCTGGCCCCGTCCTGTGAGGACGGTTCCACGGAGAGCCAGCTGGAGCTGGTTTGCCTTCTCCTGAGCTTCCGACCCGGCAATGCCAAGGTGACATGGCTGGTGAATGGAAAGGTGACGAGGTTCCCCACCACAGCCTTCTCCTCTTCATTGGGAGCAGACGGCGCCTACATGGGCCAGAGCCATGTGAGCATCATCAGGCAAAGCTGGGAGAAAGGGGACATCTTCTCTTGCCAAGTCACTCATCCAGCATGGGGAACGCAGGCCTCCACGTACAACATCAGCAAGTGCTTAGGTGAGGGGCTACGGCCTCACAGGCTGGGAAGGGGGCGTGGAGAGTTCCTCAGAAATCAGCTCTGCAGGAGTGTAGGTTGGTCTGCACCTAAACTCCAGGGTGATGGGAGAGGTAGAGATAAGGTAGACAGGTCGATCGTGTAGATGGATGGAAACAGAACGAGACAGGAGGGAAGGATGCTGTAGATGTGGTTGAAGGGGTGTATAGATAAATAATGAAAGGGCCGGGGAATGAAGCTTGCTGGTCCAACTGGGAGCAGAAACTAGGAATAAACCAGTTGAGATACCTTCTAAACCACTTTGTCTATGATTCTACGTTGCAATAGCTATTTTTCTAGAGCTATACCTCACAGGGGTAGGTAGGGCAAGCCCTTATGGGGCATTGACCATGGTATTTTTGCAGATGGACCCCGATAGCAGGAACCCAGGAGCGTCTTTCCCAGGGCATCCCATGGTGTTAAGGTTCTGGGTGGATGAGCCTTGGTGACTCTTTAAGTGGTTAGAAACAACCACTTTCCTGTGTACTCATTTCCAATTTTTTAAATGGAATGTTGTTAGGTCGCTCTGCGGTGTTCGGAAGGGCTTAAATGTCATCTTTTGCCTTCGAACATAATTTCTCTTTGCATTTCACAGCCTGCCCCAAAAGCGCCCTGGAGCCAAACATCTACTTGACAAAACCCGCCTTCAAAGACGTGATCAAGAATTCGGGCCACGTGACCTGTCTTGTTTTGGGTTACGACTTAGCATCCTCCACAATCATCTGGGAGGTGGACGGAAGTGTCAGTTCTGGGGGGAAGACAGAAGCCCCCAAGAAGAACAACAATGGGACCACCAGCCTGGTCAGTTCCTATCCAGTGTCACGGGCACAGTGGGGACAAGGCACCAGATTTACCTGCAAAGTGAGCACGCTCTGTTCTGGAGAACTCACCCAGGAGATAACCATGGTCAATAAAGGTGAGGAGCCTTGGTATGACAAAGAGAAAGTCATTCCCTCAGTCATTTCCTGCTGGGATTGCCTGGAAGCCTAATCCGAACTAGCTACTCCGTGCCGCGTGTAGCCGCGCGGCACGGGGTTCGAACTGCCGGCATTTAAAAATGGCGCCGGCTGGCTTCATGCAAATGAAGCCCGGGAAATTCAAATCCTGGGCTTCATTTGCAATTGCGGTATGACTACATTACCCTCCTATTTCGAATTAGGAGGGTAGTGTAGACATACCCTAAGAGGGTGTCACAAGGAGGAAGGAGAAAATTTGTTCCTCTTGCTTTCTGAGGACAGGACAAGGAGTAATGGGCTTAAAGTGCAGCAGGGGAGGTTTAGATTGGACATTAGGAAAAAATTCCTAACTGTCAGGGTGGTCAAATATTGGAATAAATTGCCAAGGGATGTGGTGGAATCTCCCTCTCTGGAGATATTTAAGAACAGGTTAGATAGACATCTGTCAGGGATGGTGTAGACGGAGCTTGGTCCTGCCTTGAGGGCGGGGGGCTGGACTCGATGACCTCTTGAGGTCCCTTCCAGTCCTATGATTCTATGATCTGGATATCCAGCTGGTGTTTGTCAGCTTCCATCAGGCTGTCCAGGGTTATTTTTATTGGAAATTTGTGAGATGTCCCAAAGGAACCCTGCACTACTGGGTAGGACCTCAGGCAAACGGGCCAGGTGGAAAGTTGGGCCCCCACCAGCGCAGCAGAGAAAAAGGTGGCATCCCACGAGGGTCAGAAGGAGGCCTGCGCCAGGACACAACGGGCCTGTGCTGGAGTGATGAAACCCCGTGCTACCGTGGAGGACTCCGGGCAGACAGGCTGGGTGGAAGGTCAAGCCCAGCCAGAGTGGTGGGAAAGGAAGCGGTAGTCGGTGTGAGCCGGGAGGATGCTGGCACATTTTTGTCAGTGGGGGGCTGACATCATGACCCTAGGGGCCTTGCTAGCAGGGGCGTGGTGGTCCCAGGGCGCAGGAAAAGCCGGGGATTGGGTGATGGAGAAGAGGCAGACCCCGTAAAAAGGGTGCGACAGGCCCAGGTCGAAGGAGAGAATGTCCCAAGGTGGAGGAGTGATGGTGCCCAGGCCTGGTAGCCAGGGAGGATAAGCCGCGTAGGCCGGATGAGAGGCTAACGGCATCAGGAAGCAAACCAGGGTGGCCAGTTGGAGGTCTGCATGTAGACGATCCAGAAGGAGAAGAAGATGAAGTCCATGAAGAAGAGGAAGGCAGTGAACAGGCTGAGGGAGAAAGAGAAAGAACATCAGAATGCTGAAGAAGACAATGGGGAAAAAAATAAGATGCTGATAATGAAGGTCATGATCTGGCAGAGTGAAAGCTAATTAGGAAGTGATTCTATAGATGAGGGAAGAGAATATGATTATAGTAATGAAGACGACAACAAAGTGGATGTGAAGTTGTTGCCATTTAAGGGTGAGAATCTGGAAGTTCATCTGAGTTCTGAGTGGAAGATGTGAGAGATCAGGTGAGTTTTGAGTGAAGGTCCAGGGTTTTTGCATTTCAGGGAACATGATGCTCAGAAGCTGGGTTTTCCTTTTGCCTGTCCTAGTGTCACACTCATCCTGAACTTTTGCTCTCTCTGGTCCCTTTGCAGAGGGATGGTTGTTGGGTCTGATTGCTTACCTTAGATGTTCAACCAAGTCTTAACGTTTTCATGTCCCTCTTCCTTGTCGTGAAGGCATCGCTATGAAGGAGCCTTCCGTCACCATCTCAAGAGACTACCATGAAGACAATGCAGGAAACAGGGTCTCTGTGACTCTCGTCTGTGAAGCTAGTGGCTTTTTCCCCGAAGAGATCAGCATTTCCTGGTTGAAGGACAACTCCCCGGTTCTCAAATCATATTACAATAATGGCCCTGTATCAGGAAGTGGCACTTTCTCGGCCTACAGTATCCTGAAGGTAGATCAAGGTGAAGGAGAAGGAAGTTACGCCTGCATGGTGCATCACCCGTCCCTGCGTGAGCCCAAGAGTGTTGTGCAAAAGGTGTGCTTTGGTAAGTGCCTTCTCAGAGGCCATTGCCTTCATGATACCATCATTGGTAACACAAAGAACTGCAATATTTACTGCAATTTGACCCCCCTGGGGAATGTTCCCTCTGCTGCACTACAGGAGACTTCCCTTTTCCCCCAAGCCATTATCCAGTCTGAAATATCCCGAGCAGTTGGCATCCCAACACACTTCTTGAGGTGATGATGTCACAGCCTCAAGGTCCTCATGACCAGTAAAGGAAGTGAAGGAGAAATGTCCTACATACATCAGGGCATTCTGGGCAGGAAGTAGCATGTAACTGGATATGGCTGTGATTTGGACAACACATTGGGATGGACATTCTTGTACCTGGGGATAGGCCAAAGATGTCGTTCATGTCTGGGACAGAGTTTGCTGAATTTTTTTCCCTTTCAACTGTTAGAATCACTGCGGTTTGTTTGCTTTACTACTAGATTTGGGTTCCCTCCCACCCCCGGGTCTCAAGTTCATAGTTTTTTAGTTAGGTTCCCTTCCTATTGATCTTGGTAACTAATTGACCATTCATTATCAGTGGTTAATAGGTCAATGGAGGGATGATAGGAGTTACTATAGAGAACTTTCTGGGTGTCTGGCTGGTGAGTCTTGCCCACATGCTCAGGGTTTAGATGGTCGCCATATTTGGGCTCGGGAAAGAATTTTCCTCCAGGGTAGATTGGCAGAGGCCCTGGAGGTTTTTCACCTTCCTCTGTAGCATGGGGCACAGATCACAGCTGGAGGATTCTCTGCATCTTGGGGTCTTCAAAGTATTTGAAGGCTTCAATATCTGAGATATAAGTGAGAGGATTATTCTAGGAGGGGGTGGATGAGATTCTGTGGCCTGCACTGAGCAGGGGGTCAAACTAGATGATCATAATGGTCCCTTCTGACCTTAAAGTCTATGAGTCTATGAGTCTATTCCTCAAATATACTTTCAGCACATGGGCAAAGTCTTCATGGATCTGCAGGCACGACAGGTGTCCAGTTAAGATGTGGTCTCAAGGATGGGGCTGTGAGGGTGGTGTGTTTAGATCATCTTGTGGATATGGGAGCCAGTGAATGAGAATCCACAACCCAATCCTGGAAGACTGGAACAAGTATGGTCCAGTTTTGAAACACAGATCCTTGTGGTGCTTTGTCATTGCCGGATTCTGCCTCTTGTTGACTTCTAAAGCTGAAAAAAAATAGATTGAAATGCACCTCTGGGCAGATCCCTGTGTTGCACTAAGAGGGAGATTTTTCAGTCCCATCTCAAAGATGGAGGTGCCCGATTCTCATGGGAAGTTGTGATTAAGAATCTTCAGGAACCTAGGGTAATCTCATGCTCATAGCTGGGCTGAAATGGAATCTAATCCTCATGATGCCTCTCATGTATGGGGGAGGATCTTCAGCTCACTGCCTTGCCTATCTTGCAGAGACTGACCCTGAACTGTGTTTTCCCCTCTCTCTGCTCTCAGCATGTGGTCCGATGATGCCACCCCAGGTTCAGCTCCTGGCCCCCTCCTGTGAGGGTGACTCCATGGAGAGCCAGTTGGAGTTGGTTTGCCTTCTCCTGAGTTTTCGACCTGGCAATGCTGAGGTGAAATGGCTGATAAATGGAAAGGCGACGACCCACCCTACCCCAGCCTTCTCCTCTTGGTTGGGCGAAGACGGTGTCTACATGGGCCAGAGCCACATAAATGTCACCAAACGGAGCTGGGACCAAGGGGAAGAATTCACCTGCCAAGTCACCCATCCAGCGGGGGGACAAAATCCCTCCATGCAAAAGACCAGCAAATGCTTAGGTGAGGGGCTACGGAAGTGCAGGGTGGGGAGTGGGTGTGGAGCGTTCTTGGGAATCCAGCCATGCGTAAGCTTTGGTTGGGTTTCACCTAGTCCCCAGGGTGATGGGAGACATGGAGATATGGAAGAAAGGTTGATACTGTAGATGGTTGGAAACAAAAAGGGATGATAGGAATGGCTGCTGTAGCTGTCCTAGAAGGGGGTTAAAGATAGATAGATAATGAGACGGCTGCTAGATGAAGCTCGTTGGTCCAACTTTGAACCGGAAGTTGGACTAGACACACTGAGATCTCTTCTGATCCTCATTTCTGAGCTGTAGTAGGTATTTCTTTTCATTAGTTCCCGGAGGTTGATTGAATAACCTGTTACAGTACCTTAGCTGCAGTATTTTAGGGGATGGGCACCTGATAGAACAAACCCAAGAGCCTCTTCTCCTGGGCTTTCCATGCATTTAAGGTTGTGGCTGGATGGGATCAGCATTGGTGTATCCTTCAGTGTTTGGAAACAAACAATTTCGTTTGTGCTAATTTGCTTGTTTTTTTATGGAGCGTTGATGTCGCTCAATGGGCTGCTCTCCAAGGTCAGGAGAGGTTCAGGGTCCTATTCTGCCTTCTCACATTATTGATACTGGTCTCTTTGCATTTCTCAGCCTGCCCTAAAAGCTCGCTTGAGCCAGCCATCTACTTGTACAAACCCTCCTACGAAGACGTGATTAAGAATTCCGGTCATGTGACTTGTCTAGTTTTGGGTTACGACTTAGCTGCCACCACAATCATCTGGGAGGTGGATGGAAGGGTCAGTTCTGTGGGGAAGACAGCAGCCCCCAAGAAGAACAACAATGGGACCACCAGCCGGGTCAGTTCTCACCCAGTGTCGCAGGCACAGTGGGGAGAAGGCACCAGATTTACCTGCAAAGTGAGCACGCTCTGTTCTGGAGAACTCACCCAAGAGATAACCATGGTTAATAAAGGTGAGGAACCTCAGCATCTCAAAGGGACAGACAAACTCTAGTCATTGTCAATTGGTGGTCATCTCTGTAATGGTAAAACCCACCTGAGGGTGAGGAGCCTACTGATGCTCCGGAAGGATATTGAGAGGGCATCCATGCTTTGGGAAGGGGGTTGGACTTGATGACCTCCTAAGGTCTCTTCTAGTTCTATGATTCTATGATTCTTAACTTGGATGTGCACCTAAGTCTTATTCTTGCCTTTCCCCTCTTCCTTTTCATGTAGACGTGGATAAGAAGGAACCTTCTATCACCATCTCAAAAGCCTACCACGAAAACCTCTCGGGGACCAAAGAGTCCTTGACGCTCATCTGCGAAGCTAGCGGCTTTTATCCCAAAGACATCAGCATCTCCTGGTTGAAGGACAATTCCCCTGAACTCACGGCCAGTTACAAAAATGGTCCCCTGGCAGGAAGTGGTGCTTTCTCAGCCTATAGCATCCTGAAGGTCAACCGAAGCGAAGAGGCAGAAAACTGCACCTGCGTGGTGCATCACCCAGCTTTGGAGGAGCCCAAGAGTGTGATGGAAAAAGTGTCTTTCAGTAAGTGGATACTCAGACACAAGGGTTAATTTGGGGATTTCTGCATGCTTTGTTGTCTCATCCAGTCAATAGCATGAACAAGTGCTTGATCCCATAAGTTCTCTGGGCTGGGGTCGTGGCCTCACTGACAGATTTCTAGCTCCATTATGAAGCCATCTTTGGTGAAATCAAGGATTGCAAGATTCATTGAAAACTGGGTTATGAGGGGTAGGACATCCTCAGTCAGTTTTTCTGATGCCCTACAAGAAGGAGGTTCTTTCCCTTCCTTCTTGGAGCTCCAAATTCTAATTCCCTCCCCTGTGTCCTCAGCCCATTCCCCAAACATCCTCTGGGGTTTGAAGGCCTGAGAGGAAGGTCCTCAATTTCCACCGGGTATCTGGTGAGTATTCATTCTGCCCAGCCGCCAATGCTGCCTCCCGCCCCTAACCAGGTGGCAGCGACTGTCATCGACCCCCTCCGAAGGTCTTCCTCCTTCCCCCATCCCTGGAAGATCTCTACATAGCACAGAATGCCACCATCACTTGTGTGGTGAACGGCATGGAGACCCCCAGCAGCCTGGAGATCTCCTGGAGCAGGAGCAATGGAGGCCCGTTGATGGTGAACTCCAGGGAGCCGGTGCCGCATCCAAATGGCACCTACAGTGCAGCCAGCGTCCTGCGGGTGTGTGTGGAGGAGTGGCAGTCCGGGGAGGAGTTTATCTGCACCGTGAAGCACCAAGACATCCCATCAGCTGAGGTCAAGACTATCCACAAAAGTCTCGGTAAGCCCTATAGGGGATGCCAGGTCTAATCTGGGCCAAGGGTGGTGAATTCTCCATGGGACCTTGTGACTTTAGGGGCCACTAGCCCTGATCCAGGTGCAGGTTGGTGGGACTGGGAGTTAGAAATGTGTGGGTGGGATGACATGGGCGCAGGACACAGAAAGTCAGGACACCTGGGTCCTTTTTTCAGCTTTGCAAGGGGAGTGTGATGTAGCAGGTGAGATCAGCAAGACTTGGAGCCATGACCCCTGGTTCTAGCCTCTTTTCATTCAATTGATTTAGGTCTAGAGGGACAGATCTGCTGCATTGTTTCCGTGGCTCTGCAGGGCGGGGGCGGGGGACAGTCTAATGGGATAGAGGAGGATGATGAGGACGGGGAGGCAAGAAGGATTCCTGGGTCCCTTTCCCACCACTAACTGGTGTTTCCTTGTGGCAGAGGTCTCTCTCCGGGCCCCTTCTGTCTACGTCTTCCCTCCTCATGCGGAGGAGCTGGCTCTCCAGGAATGGGCCACTATCACCTGCCTGGCCTCCGGCTTCCGACCCAGAGATATCTTGGTGACATGGACCCGGAAGGACCGGCCCCTTCCGCAAGAAGCCTACATCAATATCGGCCCCACGCGGGAAGCTGGGGAGGAGGAGAGCTACTTCATCTACAGCAAGCTCAGAATCCAGGCCTCTGAGTGGCAGAAGGGGGACACCTACTCCTGCATGGTGGGGCATGAAGGCCTGCCCATGACCTTCACCCAACAGAGCGTGGACAAGGCCTCCGGGAAACCCACCGTCGTCAATGTCTCCGTGGTCTTGTCCGACACCGATGTCACTTGCCACTGAGGAGCAGAGCCCTGTTGGCTTCCCAGGCTGTATTAGAGATGGCCCCTGGACCTCATGGGGTCTTACATTCCTCATATAATGGGGGTAAAACCAGGGGAGCTTTTGCCTACCGAGAATGGCTGTGTGTTGAAGATGCCTGAATAAAAATGAAACGGCCTGGAGTGTCACGCAGAAGCGATTGCCTCTGTGTCTCATCTATCGATCCACCCTCCCGCCCAGGATAGGTAAAGCCAGCCAATCACCTTTCCTTCTAATCTTTTCCTTATGCATGATTTGTCTTCTTTCATTGTTCTACAGTATCCAGTCCATCCATCCGTCTGTCCACCCATCCACCAACCAACCCCCTCCACCTCATCCATATATCCATCCTCAAATTCATCTATCCCTCCCTCCCTTCCTCCATCCATCTATTCTCAAACACATTCCCACACCTACCCACTTGCCCACGCACTCCCATATATACACATCCGTCCATCCATGTACCAAGCAACCCCTAGCACTTCTATTCTCACCATTTATCCATCCTCAGACCCATCCATCCATTTATCCATTCATCCATCCATTTGTCCATCGATCCGTCCATCCATCCATTCATCCACCAAACAATCCCCAGCATTTCTTTTCCCACCATCCGTCCATCCACAGACCCATTCATCCATCAATCAAAATCTTCCACTTCTATTCCCACCATTCATCCATCCTTAGACCCATCCATCCCTCCCTCCCTCCATCCACCAACTTAGCACTTCAGTTCCCACCATACCTCCATGTTCAGACCCCTCCATCCATGCATCCGTCCATCCATCCATCTTTCTACAGCAGCTGACTCAAAGGCTCTATCACTCCATAGGTGCAAAATAATCCAGTGTCCTATCTGCATGCATCCATGCCCATGCACTGTCGTCTTCCAACCCTTCCAATCCCTCAGCAGTGCCTAGCTCTCTGTCTAGTCTGATTCATGTTGCTGAAGCCCCTCGATGACCTGAATGAAGTCAGGGTCCCATGCTGGTGGGTAGGGCTGGAGCAGACACAGCAAAACAAAAGCAGCAGGGGTCTCCCAGTGAAATTCAAAGGCAGCAAGTTTAAAACAAGCACAAGCCGGTCCTTCCTCCTGCACCGCTGCAGTCGTGTGAACGAGGGATGCTGTGAGGCCCAAAAATATAATGGGATTTAGAAAAGAATCAGAACCAGTCACGGAGAATCGGTCCATCAATGACTATTAACCCTAGCTGCTTGTCCTTCAGCCTCTGTCAGATGCTGGGGTGTAGGACTGCCAAGGGGTCAGTCAATAATTCCTTGGTTCGGTTAGTTCTTGTGTTACATCTGGCATCTGCCTCTGTTGATAGACAGGATACTGGCATTGACAGACCTTTGGCCATTATTACGTCCACGGATACAAAAAGAAGGTTGGGTGGCTTGGAAAGGTGCAGAGAAGAGTCAAAAAACGGACTAGAGGACTGGGAAAAACTCATCCAAGTGGGAAATGTTAGCAGCTGAATCGGCATCACTTAAAAGACTCACTCAAAGGATGGTTTCGTTGGTGTCTATAAATACATTCATGGGGGAAAAAATCAAGCACTTCATTGGCCACCCTAGTTCGAACTAGGGTAGCATTGTAGGCATATCCTTTCTCACATCCGGGAGCCCAGGCACACCAACATCACACGGACAACAGTCCTAGGAAGTCCAGTAGGATGTGGCCCCTAGAGAGGAAGTGAGTGGTACCTCCCACCCTTGTGAAGTCAGTGGCTACGTCTACACTGGCATGATTTTCCGGAAATGCTTTTAACGGAAAAGTTTTCCGTTAAAAGCATTTTTTGCAAAAGCCATTTTCGCGATCGGGGCTTTTTTGCGGAAAACAAATCTCTGCTGTCTACACTGGCCCTTTTGCACAAAAGTTTTTCGGAAAAAGACTTTTGCCCGAACGGGAGCAGCATAGGATTTCCGCAAAAGAACTGACAATCTTACATGAGATCGTCAGTGCTTTTGTGGAAATTCAAGTGGCCAGTGTAGACAGCTGGCAAGTTATTCCGGAAAAGTGGCTGCTTTTCCGGAATCAGTGGCCCAGTGTAGACACAGCCTAAATGTGTAGAGAAGAGCTTGAAAGAAGCCAAAGGCAGATATAAGATAATGAAGAAACACATGCCATCTTCATTGATGTTGGATCCGGATTGTGCTGACACTGCAGATACAGTCCACCTCACTTGACTTTTCCTGGGGGGACAAACCATGATGTGGCCCAATGGCCAGGGTCTAAGAACTCACCCTTAGGTTCTTGGCAGTGTGGCCCAATGATCCAAAACAAGATGGCTGCCCACAAGCACAGGATGGTGCGGTCTAGTAGACAGCATCAATACGTTAGCCTTCAGGTGCAGGATTGTGTGTCGTAGGGGCTAGAGGTATGAGTGCAGAGCAGCATGTCCTAGTGGACAGAGTCAATAAAGTATCCTTTGAGGACCGGGTCAAGAGAGATTGGTGTCAACAGAGGAGCCCTCAGGTGCAGGACAGTGTGGAATAATGGCCATCTCTGGGGCTGTCACCAGAGGGGGTGACGGCTGGCGCAGGGGGACCTTAGCCCACCTGACTCCCCGGGTTCTGACCCAGGATGCTTGAGGGGCGGAGTAGTCTGGCCTTGGGTCAACGAGGAATCCAACCATAACACACTGGCTGTGTCTAGACTGGCCACTTGAATTTTTGAAAATGGAGCGGTTGCTTTTCCGGAAAAACTTGCCAGCTGTCTACACTGGCCACTTGAATTTCCACAAAAGCACTGACGATCTCATGTAAGATTGTCAGTTCTTTTGCGGAAATCCTATGCTGCTCCCGTTCGGGCAAAAGTCTTTTTCCGAAAAACTTTTGTGCAAAAGGGCCAGTGTAGACAGCAGAGATTTGTTTTCCGCAAAAAAGCCCCGATCGCGAAAATGGCTTTTGCAAAAAATGCTTTTAACGGAAAACTTTTCCGTTAAAAGCATTTCCGGAAAATCATGCCAGTGTAGACGTAGCCACTGACTTCACAAGGGTGGGAGGTACCACTCACTTCCTCTCTAGGGGCCACATCCTACTGGACTTCCTAGGACTGTTGTCCGTGTGATGTTGGTGTGCCTGGGCTCCCGGATGTGAGAAAGGATATGCCTACAATGCTACCCTAGTTCGAACTAGGGTGGCCAATGTAGGCATTCGAACTTGCAAATGAAGCCCGGGATTTAAATTGCAGTAGGAGTAATGGTACTTCAAATTAGGAACTTTAATTCAAACTACCTAGTCTGTGTCACGTGTAGCTGCGGGCAGCGAGTTCGAACTACGGAGCATTTAAAAATGGCGGCACCCGGGAACATTTGCAAGTTCGAATGCCTACATTAGCCTCCAGTTTACTGCAAAGTCACCGCCAGTGAAAAATGAGGAAGGAGCCATCACTTCTGGCTCCAGCATCCTGCCAATATGGGCCCGTGATGGCTGGGAGGGGTCCTCCCCTTTTCTAAATATCCCATCATTCTATATTGTCAGGGTTAATCCCAGAGCAGTTGGTCTCCAGAAAGATTTGGCGGGGAGCCAATGGGAAGAGGGTGGAAGAAATGGGAAATGTAAAAGATTTGCCTGCTTCAGTCTCCTTTGTATGTGAGTTCAGAGACGATCTGGGAGAGAAATAGACTGAGGATGTCTAAGAAAAGAAAACCTAAACTTTGAAACCACAAAGACCTGAGTAGAACAGGGAATGTTTAGTTAGATGCAATCTGGTTCTTTTCCTCTTTTTTTCTCCCTAGGGCCGTGTCCACACTCAGGGGTTCTTTCGAAAAAAGTACCCTTTTTTCGAAAGAACTTCCCCTGCGTCCAGACTCAAGCCGCGTTCTTTCGAAATTATTTCGAAAGAACGCGGCTTTTCTTTCGATGGCGGTAAACCTCGTTTCACGAGGAAGAACGCCTTCCTTCGAAAGTTCCTCTTTCGAAAGAAGTTGTTCTACAATGTAAAGAGGCCGTCTTCGAAAGAGAGCATCCAGACTCACTGGGTGCTCTCTTTCGAAAAAGCGGATTTCCTCTATCGAAAGATCCGCCTGCTGTCTAGACGCGATCTTTCGAAAGAGGCTCTTTCGAAAGAAGCCTGCAGTCTAGACACAGCCTAGGTTTTCGCAGCTTCTCTAAGCTGATTTAAAAACCCCTGTAATTTAAAGTGAATCCCAGAGAAACTATTCTGTGTGCTTTAATTTGTTTGTAGATGCTCTGTTTCACCTAGGCTATCCCTACACTACAGCTCCATTTTTGTGGAAAAAACAGCAGTGTGCGCACACCTCAAGCATATTTTTGCACGAAAAAAATACAGTAAATTGACAGGACTGAGGGCTTTTGTCAGTAGAGTTATTTCTCTTCCCATGAGGAATAACTCTTCTTTGTACTACAGCTCTTGCGCAAAATAGCAAGTGTGGATGCTGCACAGGGGTTTCTTATGCAAAAAGAGCCTATCCAAAAAATTACAGGTGCAAGAGTGTCCATGCTGTGTGGTCGCTCTCTTGCACAAAAGCACATCGGTTTTCCAATGCGCTTTTGATGTCTGGGCGTGGTTTTGTCCAAGAAGGTTTTGCAGAAGATCTCGTCCCCAAAAAGCTGCTTGCGCAAAAATGCTGCAGTGTAGACAAAACTCTAGAAACCAAGTTGGCTTTATTAAATATATCATTTTTGTTTGTTAATACCATCTCCTGTTTAAGATTATAATCTGATTTCCGTGTCCTAGAAGGCAGGAGTTTCTGAGTCCATGTGTCAGAACTGAAGGTCGGGTATTCTGGGAATATAGTTTTCAAGTTCTCTCCTGAGATATTTTGAAAGAGCTTGGGGTTACCCTACGGGATGAAGTGCCCACGTAGAGCTTTCTGGCTTTCCAGGGGGTTTGGCATTTGGGTGGTGGCAGCATAGCAGCCACGGTTGGAGAAGCTGAGACCGTGGGGAGTTTTTATGCAGTAGCCTTGAGTGGCAGGATGATTTAAGGTTTCTTGCCTGCTCCCATCTTCTGCACTCAAAGTGCCTGAGCAGGGAACAGACTTAAAAGGGGCAACTTGGAGTGCGGTTGATGGTGTTACCATAACTTTGCCTCTTTTAGTAGAGCTCATGGAAGGGGCAGGGTATTGAGTATTCGGGTGAGGTCCATGGCCTACATAGGCTACAGAACAGAAGGCTACTTCCCAGCTCCTGTGGAGGGGTCCCTGGGTAGGACTCTGAGATCAATGGGGAGTTTTCTCTGGTCTGGGGGATGCAGGAAGTGAAAGAGGATGATCCTCATAGTCACCCATCCCCTGGACATAGAGGAATTTCCTGGTTTGGAGCTGCAAAGTCTCAACCCATCCATATTGGACAAAGCCGGTGTTGCCCAAAGGAGGGGATGGGACACCAGTTGTTCCCCTTTTAGGAACACATGTGGGAATGGAGTCCAAAGGGGGAAGCCCCTTCAAAGTTGTTCCCATTGGAGGGTTTCATTAAGAGGTGAGCTGTAGTCATACATAGAGCTTGGCACCCCAGTTCCACTTGGATCTGTGCACACATAACATGGAGTCTATGCGCAGATGAGCTTCAAGTCCAAAGAGACACAGTGTGATGAGGGAAACTGAGGCACAGAGAGGGGACGAGAATTCCCTGAGGTCCTACAATGTCAGAGAGAGAAGGCACAGACAGGCCCAGGGATCCCAAGTCTCATCCTAGTTCCCCATTCATGGGAACACACTGCCTCTGGGATGATACAAAACAGGGGAAGTCTCGGAAGGGCTCTCTGGGCAAATTCCACAGGCTCCTAAAATAGAAGTTAAGGAAGAGGCCTCTCTAATTGCCCTGTTTATCCCTTCCCCAGCGCCTCTCTGCCTGGTGGAGGACCCAGGGGTCTGTGCTGAAGGAGGAGAGGGGGAAACGGATCCTCTCTGGACGCCTGTAACCTTCATCACTCTATTCCTGCTCAGCCTGGTGTACAGCACCGGCATCACGCTGTTTAAGGTGAGAGCCTCAGTTGCCTTCTGGTTGCACTTCATGGCTTTAAGCAATGACCGGTGCTTAGTCAATGGGCCTGGGACCAGAAGCAGGTGGTTGAGACTATGCTGGCTCCACAGGGATTGGTCGTGTGGTGCCCGGTGGGCAGTGGCCGCTCCTCTGGGTGGTGTGCCAAGGCTGGAGTTTCCACAAGTCTGGTTCCAGCTCACGGGAGAAGACTTGGTGGGGGGCAAGCTTGGCTGGGTGAGGCTGCATGGAGCAAGTCTCATGGTCCATTCTGGCCTTGTTCTATCAGGGTATGTCTAGACTACATGCCTCTGTCGTCAGAGACATGTAGATTAGGCTACCGGCATAGGGAAATGAAGCTGCCATTTAAATAATCACGGCTTCGTTTAAATTAAAATGGCTGCCCCTCTCTGCTG